TTTGTTTCTGTGTGTTTGGTAGAGCTGTTTTGACTCCTGTCTTAGTAATGTGGCCTGTCTAGATGAATGTGGCTTCTATCATTCTTTGGTTGTTGGACTTTCTTCATACAGCTCAATTTTCTGATAGTTCAGGGTGATATTTGTTTTGTAGTCTAGTTATAATTTTTGCTATGGTTGCACAAAGAGCCTCTTTTTTTGCAAACTGCTTTTTGTGGTTATCTTTGGAGAACTTTACATCAGTACAAGTCAGTCTATCTTGTTCTTAAATTTTAAATCATGGACAGATGTTCTTAAATTGATTATACAGAAAGAGTGCCCCAACTTATCCCCTCATCAAGTGGTTGAGGGTACTTCATTCTTCCCACTTTTATTGACATTTTCCAAATTTAAACCAAGATGATAGGTACTTTAACATAAATTTAGTTTAATCTCAGTGAGATCAAGAATCTTTTCTTCTGATTTATTGGTGGTTTTTCTGTCTATCCATTGGATCAGTTCCTTATTCCTTTGTAAGAACCTCTTTATGTTAAAGAAATCTTTTTTAAATCATCTTTTTTAATCATCTTTCACTTTATGTATGATCTGACTTTTTGTCATACAGAAGTTTTAATTTTAACTTTAAATTTATGAGTTTTTTTCTCATTGACCTGAATTGTATGTCTTCAATTGAAAGACCTTCTCTTTTGCTTTTTTTTTAAAAAAAATTCTCTTGTTTGGTAGCAGAATTACATAGGATGTAATTGGAAGAAATCAGAGTGTCTGGTATTTCTCTCTGAATTGATGCACTCTGTTATCTCATAAAAGTTAATGAAAGCTTGGGGGTTAGAAACCCTGAGAATCTCCTAATGATAAGAAGAAAGAAATAGAAAGGAAAACAGAGTTGTTATTCAACCAATGAAAGAAAAGCCTTCTGTCAGTCTGTTAATGGCCCCATTTTTTTTTCTTCTGGAAATAGTATTTGGTGGTTTACACCCAATCCCAGCATTAATTCCTATAGCTCAGAAGCATAGATGACAGGACAATATAAGCAAGATATGGGACCATGGATAAAATGGCCATCCTTGGAGGAACATCTCATCCCTGGACACCACATCCAGAAACACTGTAGCTTCCTGATTGCCCCAGATATATTAGAAGGAGATGAGGGGATAAGGATAGAGTAATCTAATGAGTTGAGAATTGCAGATGGGGAGTTAAGAAGTAGAAAAGATGCTGTTGGATTTGGTCTGTCCCTTTATGGGTCCTGTTCCTTATCAGAAGGACAGGCAGTGACTGCTGCTTCTATTGTTGCCCAAACCAGTGGGACCTCAAGCCTTTTCTATGTTCTACCCATTCTTTGTTTGCGACTTTGGGTTTGTGGGTAGACCTGACTGGAAACAGAGCAGAAGGGAAGTTGAGTTTTTCAGGCTGCTCTTTAGCTCTGGACTCTGCTGCACAATAACTAATATCAGGAGAATACTCAGAAAACTGTACTGGAACAACAATTAAGATTAAAAAATAATTTTAAAAAATAATTTTCTCAAAAAAGAATACTCACTTTTTTTACTCTGAGGCACATTTCCCCATGTTTTCCCATTCCAAGAACCACTGCTGTCCTATCCAGTAATTTAGGACAGTAACAATATGGCAATCCCTTTGTAAAATAGTATATAAGCATAATAGAGTGAAGAGGCAGCTCTTCCATCCTCCCTGCTGAAGATGACCTTGCTCGATACCTTTGGCCTTACTGTCTGCCTAATAGACATCCAAGGGCTTAGCTCTCTACATCCCGCATCTCTTGTCTCTTTGTCCTGGCTGAGGGTGGAAGGTCTAGAGGCTGAGTCATAGCTCCCAGAAATCTAGGCATCCCAAAAGCTTTTCTGTTTCTTTATGAAACATCATAGGAAGGAGAACGAAATACTGAGTTTGAGTCCAGCCTTTTTGAATGCAAGGGATACTCTGAATTTGTGCTCCTAATAGGCATTCCATCTAGTGTGTAGGCAAACTATTTGGGTATGAAGGATGCCATTTCAACAGGGATTGCACTTTGATATGGAAAATTCAAGATACGCCCTAACCATTTCTTGTCTGTGACTGTGACCACTGGATTGACCATTCTGGAGAGACCATGATTAAGTCTAGAGGAGCCTACTAAAAAAGAATTCCATTCTGCCTTTCATCAACCAGGAGCCTGCACTTGGGACTTTTTCTAAAACCATCATGTTGAGATGTAAAACCAAGAGACATTTCATGGGCCAATATTTATGTTAAAAATAATAAAAGTAATTACCATAAGGAAGAAAAAGCACAGCTAGATGCTTCAGTACTTCATTGGAATTCATACAATAGGTATTTAGCCCTTACTACATGTCAAGCACGGTGCTAGGAATTTCAACTCCTGTCTAGTGTGTCTAGTGTGTCTAGGATAATAATAGTAACTATAGCTAATAATTATTGAGTTCTGTACAACCTATTAAGAATTGTGCTAAGTGCTTCACATGGATTATCTCATAAAATGCTCCCATCAACATTGTAATTAGGTGCTTTTTAAATCTTTACATGAAGATAAGGGAAGCGAGGTTTAGTGAGGTTCAACAACTTGCTCAGCAACACATTGCTAATAAAGATCAAAGCTGGAATGCAAACCCAGTGTATTTTCTGCTTTTTGTTTACTATTGTTTCTGTATAAGGCAAAACAAGTCCCTGCCTTCCTGAAACTAGTAGTCTAAATTAGAACGCACACTTCTTCAGAGAGGTTCTTAATTTGTCTCTGGAGAGATGTGGAGTGTCCAGCAGGAGAGGCACCTGTCAGCAGGATTTAGGCTAGCCATATGCACTCAGTTGATGGAAGTTGCTTAATGACATGGACGCTCTTGATTTTGTCTAATCTTACTCATTTCCCCCATCTCCTATGTCCTTCTCTTGGCACCCTCTGCCTTGTCCTTCTGCCACCCTCTTTCTTCTGAGTGTCCTCCCCTCCATACCTGTTAATTTCTCCCATTTAGACAATTCTTATACTCCCTAAATGCCACTTTTGAAGGACAACATGGAAGGAAGAGAAAATTTCACTGCAAGTGAAATGAGCTATTGATGGATGGCTTAGGAAGCCTAGGGGTCCTTCTTTAGCATTCTCTGGCATTTAAGGGACCCAGGATTCCAAAAGCACATCCACACAAGTCTGCTGTCACTAATCTCATTTTTTCCATGATTAACAATCCAGTTCATTATGTTTTCAGCTCACATTAATCTTCTCTTCTGTGAGTTTGGTGACATTTGGAGTCATTTCCCTCTGTATTTATCCATCTGGGATCTTTAGAAAAGATAAGTGTGCAGAGAGTCATTTTTTGCTCATGCTGAAATTCTGCAAGAGAGCTGAAGGTTTGGTCGTCACTGCTGTAAGAGGGCTGGAGGTTTCTCCAGTCCTGAGAGACAATCCTCTAAAGTCAGGCATGGATTCCCTACACAAGGCCGAGAGCCCTCTCCATGGAGCTCCACTGTGGGGCCTCCATTTGGGATTGAGCTGCAACATAACTGCATCAGAAATCACATTAAGCAATGCTCCCTGGATCCTGACTGTCCTCCTGGAACAGATGGATTTGGGACAGAGCTGTGAAGGTAGCAGAAAGAGTTGCGAGATTAATGAGTCAGAACAAAGTCTTTGGCCTGAGTCCTTTCTTTACCACCTACACACTATTTGACCTTGGACAAGTCACATAATCTCTCCCAGATCCATTTGCCTGCTCTGCAAACTGGCTGCAAAGACGCCTCTCCTCTCTACATGAGAGGGTTTTGAAGGTTAACTTATATTCTCATCTCTGTTTTTGAGTAAGCTCATAACCTTGCTCATATTCCTTGATTTTTTCAATTTCTGAGGTCCCTTCACACACTAATAGTATAAAGGTGGGGCAAAAGTAGGTTTACAGTTGTTCATATGGAAAATAGTACAATAAATAATAATGTAAGAATGAACTCTTTCGAATACCTACAACTGTAAACCTACTTTTGCCCCACACTGTATTTATGACTGGAAAGAAATAATAGGCTATTGGGGAAATCTTAGAGCCTATTATTCCTTATTTCTCATCTTATATTTTTAAAAGTCTTGGAGAGGCCCTGGCTGGGCAGCTCAGCTAGTGAGAGCATCATGCCACTATGCCAAGGTTGTAGGTTGGATCTCTGGTGAGGGTACATACAAGAAGTAACCAATGAATGCATAAATGAGTGGAACAACAGATCTCTCTCTCTCTCTCTCTCTTTCCTTCTCTCTCTCCCCCCTCTGTAAAAATTAATTTAAAAAAAATTTTTTAAAGCTTGGAGGTATGTGTCATATTTAAAGATCTGTTGGGGAAGAGATATGTCATTTAGAAAACAGAGAGAGAATCCTTTGGAAATTCAGTTAAGGGCATTCTCCCAGGAATAATGTAATCTCAGTAGGCCACAGGGGAGGCAATTCTTTTGGAGATTCTGAGCTGACAGTCACTAGCAACATTTTGTTGTGAAGGTTGGAATGTACACATGCATTTCTTATTTCAAGTAAGAGAAAATATGCAAAATTGGAATGTCAGAAGCCATGACAGATACTGCTATCTCTAATCATTACCTGTGAAATATTATTGTTATTTTTCCTTGCAGCCAAAATGCAGGGCTAACTCACATTAATGCATGTTATTGTAGGGAGGAAGGTGTGATTAAAATGTATCAATGTAGAAGTCAGAACAGGTTCAGGAAAAGAACCAGTAGAGACAAGAGAAATCCGGACTGTTTGCTCTAATTCTGTGTAACTAAAAACAAGGCAACATAATTCAGAAATGTTTTCATTTATTGACAGTTTTCTCCCACAGCAACTGGGATTTGAACTGGAGATTCCCATTACGCAGATAACTCCCAGTGGTGTTCATGGAAATTACCTGCATAACCAACTCTCCTGGCCACATAGAATGCCAGGTGCCTGAGAGTACTTTTAATTGCAATGCACTTCCCTTTGCAAAAGCGCTAATGGCATCTGCTTCTCTTTCTTTTAGGTATCCAAGCAAGAACAAGAATAATGGAGAGACACGTGTGTTAGTGGCAGCCTTTTGAACCACGCAAGAAGGAAATCAGCGGTGTGGACAGGGCTGGAACCGTTGTCATGCTTGTTTGTTGGAGTAAATGAGGAATGGGCTTGTGATTATGCTGACATTCCAGCATGAATCTGGTAGACCTGTGGTTGACCCGTTCCCTCTCCATGTGTCTCCTCCTACAAAGTTTTGTTCTTATGATACTGTGCTTTCATTCTGCCAGTATGTGTCCCAAGGGCTGTCTTTGTTCTTCCTCTGGGGGCTTAAATGTCACCTGCAGCAATGCAAATCTCAAGGAAATACCTAGAGATCTTCCTCCTGAAACAGTCTTATTGTATCTGGACTCCAATCAGATCACATCAATTCCCAATGAGATTTTTAAGGACCTCCATCAACTGAGAGTTCTCAACCTGTCCAAAAATGGCATTGAGTTTATCGATGAGCATGCCTTCAAAGGAGTAGCTGAAACTTTGCAGACTCTGGACTTGTCTGACAACCGGATTCAAAGTGTGCACAAAAACGCCTTCAATAACCTGAAGGCCAGGGCCAGAATTGCCAACAACCCCTGGCACTGCGACTGTACTCTACAGCAAGTTCTGCGGAGCATGGCATCCAATCACGAGACAGCCCACAACGTGATCTGTAAGACTTCCGTGTTGGATGAACATGCGGGGAGACCATTTCTCAATGCTGCCAATGATGCTGACCTTTGTAACCTCCCTAAAAAAACTACCGATTATGCCATGCTGGTCACCATGTTTGGCTGGTTCACCATGGTGATCTCATACGTGGTATATTACGTGAGGCAAAATCAGGAGGATGCCCGCAGACACCTTGAATACTTGAAATCCCTGCCAAGCAGGCAAAAGAAAGCAGATGAACCCGACGACATTAGCACTGTGGTATAGTGTCCAAACTGACTGGCATTGAGAAAGAAATGTGTGTGCAATTACAGTAGAATAAGTGGTTTACTTCTCTCATCAGTTGTAAACATTTAAAACTTTGTATATCAGTTTCTTTTGAATTATGCCACTGTTGAACTTTTAACAGACATGACAACATAACAAATGATTTTAGTTTAGGTGATCCACCCCTCCGTTGTACCCCCACCCCCCCGGTGGTATATCCCTGAGTCAGCTACTATCTGAACATTATTTAGCTCCATCTCACTATTTAATAATGAAATTTATTTTTTTAATTTAAAACCAAATAAAAGCTTAACTTTGAACCATGGAAAACAGAGTGACTTATTGGTCAAGAAAACAGTAGAGTTATATACCATTTGTAGAGGAGAGGGAAACAGACAACCCTGGTGAACCTAAAGAGCTAGCAGAGTGAAAGATGTGTTATTAAACCCTACTGTACACTGGGGAGCCGTAGCCAAATTATTTACCAAGTAAAGTATCTGTCAGACTTTAGAATACCGAGCCTTGGTGAACCCAGGTGATAACAGCGCGGTGTCCTACAGAGGCTTAGTCAATTGAGATGCCTCTAAATGTTTGTTATCTGAAAGTTGGTGTGCATAGCAATAAAGAGATACAACTTCTACTTTTTTCTAGAAACACAGAAAAGAAAAAGGCTACCTATAATCTGTTCCTAACATTACCTTCTAGTGGACAGGGGTATGTGACCAATGTAGAAATAGCAAGGCTAAAAAAAAGGTCCTAATAGTCATGTAGGATCAGCTGTGTGCAAGCACTGTGCAAGGCATTCTTATAGTAGTACATCTGTAAGCCCTCACTGGAACAGGAAAGGTGACAACTGTACCTCATTTACATAAGAGGAAACTGAGGGTGAAAGCGGTTCAACGACCTGCCAGGTAGAAAGCATCAGAACTTACCCAAGTCTTCCTCTCTCCAAAGATTGAGGTCTTCTCATTATGTTCCTACTGGGATGGTTTAAAGAGGTATAATCTGCATATTTAAAAATGCACCCATATTAAGTGTACAGTTCAATAAGTTTTAACAAATGTATACACCTCAAGATATTATGTCCCTGATATTGTTCAGAAATAGAGGAAAGATCATTTAGTTCTTAAAGTAGGGAATTGTAGGGATTGCGGGGGGCATTAAGGTATCATTACAGTTAATCCTTGAAATCTGGGTGGGATCTCATCAGATGGTGATGTAGCCAAGGAAGGTAGAGGAAGCAGAGGGAGCAAAGGGATAAAAGTGTAAGGAGGTATTTGGGGTGAAGGAGTCTATGTAGGGTGAAATGAGAGACAAATTGGAGCCATACCATGGGGATCTGGGTTCCAGACTCAGGAATAAGAGTCACTGATTGCATTTATGGAACACTTACTATGCCCCAAGTACTTTTTTGAGATTGTCTTAATCCACACAATTACCCTAGGAGATAGTCTTTTGTGAATGAGGAATCAGAGACACAGGAATTTAAGTAATGAATTCAGGACCCTGGCACTTATAATACAGAATGCAGATAAGGAAACCCCTTCAGCCAACTCCAGAACATATAGTCTTCTGAACCACTGAACTGTGTTACTTCACAGTCATAGACTTACTACAGAAAGTTGCTGGTTTCCCAGACCGAGAGGTTTTCAGACTCCTAAGTGATGGTTTCATTTAAAAATAACAGGAAAAATAGCCCTTTGTGAGCTTAAGTAGGAAGGAGGTATTCTTTGCCATTTTGACCCACCTCGCCATCTGCAGTCCATATTAGGTTACCTTTGGGCTTCCAGGAATTACATTTCTGCCTTTAGAAGGCACTGTGGTTTTTAAACACACCAATTGTCTCTAACATGGTTACCAGCATGGACCATGAGAGTCAGCCAGCCCAAGACCTGTTAGGGCTTTCAGAGCATTGTGGCCAGGCTACACTGGTGCTCACACCCCAAGGCACGGGCTTTTCATGCCCACCCTAGTTTTTCTAAAAAGTATACAACTTACTCTGAAGGCTGAGATGTGAAATTCAGGATGTGGGCCCCAGAACTCCTGCATTCCAGTGAGAAGAAAGCTGGACTGTCTGCTTTTGCTAACTGGATTTGAAGGCCTACGATGAATCTGGAGCTTTGCTGAAGACTTAACGCCCCCTGGAGGACATTATTATAATAGATCTCTGTAAGTACTGCCATAAAAAGATGCCTACCTGAATACAGCCCCCACTCTTTTCTCCCTAAAGAACAGGAAAATCAAGCCTTTGCTAAGATAACCCTTTAAATTTTTAAATAAATTGTATCTGTTTGAGTGTGTGAGTCACATTCATTTTTGCAAAGCTTTCACAAATTGCATAATCCATTCCAGGTTGCTCCTCTAAAATTTTTACTAGTAAGAGCTTATTTTGCTAATGACCAATTAGTCAAGTGTAAGTCTTATATATAGGAAAAAATCTCTGAGGAGTGTTATAGTATAGTTGTATTCTCGCTCAGATATGGCACAGTTAAATTCCAATGTTTTAGTTTGTAATTCTCTGCATACAAAGAGTTAAGAGGTGCCTCCTAGGTTAAAAATTATCCCCTTGCTTGATTTTTACATGTAGATTTTTAGTGAAGGGTGCCATAAATGCAAGTGCTTTTTTCAAAATAATAAGATTCATTTCACTGTTTAATAAAATCTATGTTTTAATTTAAAACCAGCTGGAGGAGAAAATACTTTATTTCTTGAGTAAATAACAGGCTATCGGACTCCTTCATGGCTGTGTTGAAGGGAAATGCTCTTCCCCTCATTTGTAAGGATGCTGCGCCCCACTGGGCCAGCAGCTCACGATGCCAGCGAGTGGGGACAGCTGACGGAGGTCCGAGGCTGTTCAGAAAAAGGCCCCATGTGGATGCTCCGATTTTGATCCCAACAGGCTTCTCAATTTTTCAAACCTTTGCAGGTGTCTGTGTCCATAGAGAGCTACCTATTTTAGGACTGCAAGGTTTTCAAAATTAACTCTAATCTCATTATCTAAGGCACATACCTCCTTTCTAAATATCTTAAGTAGCAGCTTCTTTGCTCAACCTTCTCCTTCCACATCACCACCTCAACCTTTTAAGTTAAAAAACACCTGGGGATCTCAATCTAATCACTGACAATGTGCTAATCTCCGCAGCAAGGGAAATCATAAAATATGCCAACCCAACTGGAACATTTTTAAGAAAGGAATAAAAAGTTATGTAATGGAAGATTTAACTTTCAAGAGCACCCTGGCAAATTGTAACACACTGATATACGAATTCTGCCAGGTACACGCTGTTCTTTTTCAGGTCCTCCTCTGATTACCCACAGTAATTCTTGTTCTGACATCAACAAGCATAAGGCAGTCTGGGATGTGAGTAGGTTTTCCTTATTGGCTTGAGACTTTCAATTCATACAGTAAGTTCTCTCGTGTATCCGGAACAGTTAGAGAAAGAAAAAGTGTGCTTAGCTAGATGTTCAGGGTACCAGAGATAGGCAAAGTCCTGACATTTCAGGACTGGAAGAATCCTGGAGATAATCTCACCCACTGATTTTACAGGTGTTGACACTGAAACCCTTGCAGGCTTGGGGACTGACACTCCTGGTCTCCAGCCAGTGTCCTTTCCAATAAGCGCTTTCCCATCTTCAAAGAAACAGATCAGCATAATAATATGCACCAGGAAAATGCCACTGCCCATTGGCAGTCATTTCTTTGCGGATTCAGAAGACATTTAAAGTTCCTGCATTGTCAGAGTTGTAATAAAGAATATCCATGGTTCTTAAAAGCTTCTTATTTCTTCCAGATATAATGAGAGAATCTGTTTCCCTTTCACAAATGGCCCCAGATAACATGCTCAACGCTGTGCATGAGCTGGTTTTCCAGGGGAGATATGGAGAAAATGATCTTAGTGCCACTTCCGGGGAAGGAAGCGTTGATTAGCATCTGTTACCTTGAGTAGCAACATAAACCCTGAGTGGCCAAGTGCAGCTCTGCTGGCAGGTGGGAAGCGAGTGCCCTGAAACAAGCTCCTTCTCCATTTCCAGAGCTCTTGTCAACCTGGCTTCCCAAAGCGGTATCATTGATTGATTCATCAGATTGGCTGGGTCTGACCCAGACAAAGCAAACCAGAGGCAAACCGATTCACAACACATTTGAAAGTGCCTCCCTGAGCCCTCTCCCAAAGCCAGATAGGTGAATCGGAACACAGGGAAAAGGAAGACCTGAATTCCTCATGCCCCATTTGCCCACACTTGTTATATGGATGGTCATAAATGCACCAAATGAATTAATGGGTCACAGAGACACAGCAGGGGAGATTCCTCAAGGTCCAAGACCTCTTCCTTCCAGCGCAGGGAAGAGCAGAGATGACAGCAAAAGGAAATCTACTTGTATTTATATGGCTCTAACTCCTTCAGCATTGAAAGAACCAGAGCTAGTATGAATCATTTAAGTGTGTGTGTGTGTATGTGTGTGTGTGTCCATGTGCACCTGGCAGTGACATGGAGAACTGGGTCCTGAGAGCATCAGGAAAAGAGACAGTAAGAACACTGAAAACAAAATCTGCTTGTCAGTAGTTTGGTTTAGGGAGGGCCCGGGTTTCAATTTCCTAGGGAAATTACCGATGTACTTTCAAGGCTGTCTCCCAGTTCATTGAAAACATTTATGCCTCTTACTAACTGCAACTGAGTTTACCAAGTTTGTGAACTATGCTCCTTCTTTGGCTGATAAATGTTCCAAATGTTGTTCATTATTTTAAAAAGGAATCAATACATTTACTTTCTTTGCCTGTGGATGCATGAGCATCCAACTGGCAACAGTTTTCCAGATCTGACCTTCAAAGCAAGGCTGCAAAAGGATATATTGTGAGTCTTTCTGGAGTTGGGACCAACATTCTATATTTTGCTTCAATATTTCATTTATATTTTATTCTCAGAGAAGTGTTTGTAAAATAGAAGGCAATCTGAAATCTGCCTGTTGGTCTTAAGATTAACAAGCCAGCTGTTGAACTAATAGCGTTGATTATTGAATAGATTATTTTTTTTAATTATCCATAGGAAGTAGAATGGGTCTACTCCAGCTTCCTTAGGGTTGCCACATTTCCTCAGTAAGAAAAATGTATGTGAGATGCTGGTTCACTCTCCAAGTCTTTCATCCCCACAGCCTTGCCAATTCCCTGTCTCCGAGGAGCCAGCTACAGTAACAAGAGGAGAATGTGAAATGAGAAAGGAAGAACAAAAACTTGGGAACGTGCTACCTAGAAGCAAGGCAGTAGGGGAAGAAACAGGACTGACTTACACTGACACTGCC